AAATTTTTAAAAGATTGTATTTACTTATTTCAGAGGTAAAAACAGAGAGAAAGGTCTTCATTCCATTGGTTCACTCCCCAAATGGCTGCAACGGCCAGAGCTGTGCCGATTGGAAGCCAGGTGCCAGGTGCTTCCTCCCGGTCTCCCACGTGGGTGCAGGGGCCCAAAGACTTGGGCCATCTTCTACTGCTTTCCCAGGCCACAGCAGAGAGCTGGACTGGAAGAGGAGCAACCGGAACTAGGTCTGGAGCCCATATGGGATGCTGGCGCCAAGCGGAGGAGTAACCTGATGCACCATAGCACGGCCCCAAAGATTAAATAACTGAAAAATCCAACCTTTAAGATTGCAAAGAAAAATCTCAGAGACAAACGTGCTCACAATTTCTGAAACACTCTGTGACCTGGACTGGGGGACTACAAGAGGAACCTAAGCAGCAGTGGAAGCTGTTGAGACAATAGCAGCTGAGATCAGGAAATTGTTACAGCTGCTAGGAACAACGAAATCCCCTTAGACCCAATGGTGAGGGAGTAGAGCTGCAGGCTGACGGACAATCTGCGTGGATACTCAAGGTACACGTATTTTAAAAAATTCCCCACCCAGAGCGTCTATTATTCCAGGCAGAGAGGTGGGAAAGCAGTGCAGGTGGTAGAGGTGGGTTGGGGATTGTAATGCAAGAGACAGATGCCTGTAGAAGGCAACCTCCACCTGCAAACATCCTGTGTTTTTCTGTTGTTCGTTTCTGTGTAATGTCTGTGCTTAGTATTGGTCTTGTTGTTGAACAATAAATAAATATTTGTTGAATAACTGGAGGAATGAAAGAAACGGGTGACAGATTTTGATGGATATTGTCTTCATCTAGTACAGCATGGTGAATTGTGCTTGGTATAACTAATGAGTAGTGTCTCTCCCCAGGAGACATACAATTCATCCAGTTATTTATTCCAAAAATATGAATTGAGGATTTGCTAGGTTCCAGGTGCAGGATACTAAAAGACGATATACGTTGCCTTTTTTTTTTTTTCAATACAGTAGTTTAGGTGCCATCAAAACTACCCCAACTCCTTCTCACCCCACACCACCCCAAACTCCATGCGATACACCAGCTGGGCCTGGACACTGCCCCGCTTTCCTGACAAAACCTAGAACCAGGGCGATGAAAGACGCAGTTTCATGAGGCGGCTGCTTCTACAAGGCTTCACTGTAGCTCCATATTGGAGACCGGCTATGAGAAGCAGTGATTATTCTAAACAGGGCTTTCACCCGACTTCAATGCGCACCTTGTTCACTTCTTCCCCTTTCCTCCAACTCTATCCGCCCTCCACTGACTGGACCTGCTGCGGGAATGACGCAGCTACGGGCTGGGCACGAAATCACGAACAAACAGAAGACTTCGTCCTGCCGTCACAGATCGCGCAACGCAAGGTTTAGTCACCGACGAAGAGTGAAAACAACCCGCCTTTAACCCCGCGCAGCAGCGGTGTCACTGAGCCCAACCGAAGCACCGCTTCTCCCGAGTTCCCGGGCCGGCGCCCGCCCCGCCCTGGAGGCGTGGCTAAGGTGCCCCCGCCGGGACCGGAAGGCGGGCCGTTTTGCATTCCCTAGAGGTAGCCAATGGCTATACCTGGAAGGGAAGCTTTTGAAATGAACGGCATGGAAAACGACCAATCAGAGACTAATCTGGCGGAGGGCAGGATACTAAGCGTTGTACTGTCGGGGTAGGAGGTGGGGGTTGAAAAAGGAGGTGTTGATTGCAACAGCTTTTTACTCTTGTAAGAAAATATTTCAATCTTTTAATAAGTAGCACGAGCATCCTGGTGCATACGGTTGGGTATCAGTCCAGATAAAAGTAACTTCTTTCTGTCTGCAGAGAGCTCCACCTCGGTCTGAGAAATTCTTTGTTCATAATCATACAGTTCAAACAGGAGCTGCGGTTGGCTTGCCGACATCTTCTAAAAGACAGGGTTTGGTCTAGGGTGCATGCGGGCCACTGTTTGCTGGGACTGTTATTTGCTCATCCGCATTACCTAACTCAGCGTCTAGCATATCATTAGGCACTTGGAAACTGTTTAAGAATTAATGGTGCTTCCTTTGATCTCATTTGTAAAATATTTGCAGCCCTCTGACTCTGCCGTAGTGGAATGTCTTACCCTGTTTTAGCAGTTCAATAAAAGTTGGTTAAATGTGTACGTTGCTTGATTTCTTTGATAAGTTTCATGAATTTGCTGGCAGTTACTATATTCGAAGCTTATGGTTACTTTTCTTCTCCAACATTTACTAATTCTGGGGTTTCTTGGATTTTACCATCCTCAGATTGTAAGCAGAAAAAGATATAAATGAGCTTTTTAAATTCTAATGTTCTGAACAAATAATGAATCTTTTTTATTCTATGTAAAGTAGTTGAGGGTTTTCAGTGTGCTAATCATAGCGTTAGCCATTATTGCACAATGCTGTATTGCTCAAAGGACCAAAGAGCAGGGGCTCAAAGACAACACCTGGGTGTGAGCAAGATGATGCTGATCAAGCCAGAAGCAAAAATGACTCCGATTCCAGAGTTCCTAAGGGCTGAGTATTGGGTGGTTTAAGGCAGAGACAACGCTAGATTTCTTTTGATGGCTGCTCAGCAACCTAAGACCACTGTTCTCTCTCTAAAATAATAATTTCATTGTGTCTGAGGATTCGAGACTCATCCACTGTGTTTAAGAGAAAAAAATTAAGTTAGAATGTGGATGCTGTTCCAAGAAAGAGTTGATCCAGGATGACTCTGCATTCCTGTATTAGTTAATTTGTTGTTGTGGGGTTTATCATAAAGAAACAGGAATGTGTATGGACCTTGGGATGAGCCAGGAGCCAGGAATTGAAAAGAAGTTGGGACTCTTGCTCCAACTCTGCCTCTCTGTCCACACCTATCACTTCCTTCTCTCTCTGCTTCTCTGATATACATGCCAGCATCCTTAGTTAGAATATTTTTCTCATTAACATCTATTACTGGAATTGTTCCAGCAGTGGCTGGATGATCATCATTTGAGACTGTGCTAGAAGGTATATCCTTGATAAGTGGGAGGAAGAGAAGTTAGAACACATTATATCTATAGGGTATTTTTTCTCTCATACTTCAGCACAGTTAATGACACATTTTTTTTCTTATTTATTCCAGTCTTTCATCTTTCATTTGCTCTTAATTCAGTAGGTATTGGTCTTCCTCCCAAAAGCTTCTCATGAAATAGTAGTTTTCTCCTAATAGCTGAAGGACAATAGAAAAAGAGGAAAAGCATATGCTCTTTCACCTATGAGTAAAAGTTAACATAATTAATCAGTATTTGAAGTTGAGCCTGAGCTCAAATCCTATTCCCATCACCAAGAGCTATGTGACCTTGGAAAAAATGCTGTGAAACTTTTCTACCAACTACAAAGTGGAAACTTAATGCTAAACAATCTCTACTGTGTTGTTTGATTAATTAAACCAGTGTTTCTATCAATGCAAGCACTAACAGTAAGAACTTAAAAAAAGAACTTAGTAAAGAGTAATTTTTATTAATATAAGGGGGTCTTCAAGAAGTTCATTGGGATACATATTATGAAAAAAGCTATGCATGGATTTCAAAACATTTTATACTAAAATATTCCAGTTTTATACTAAAAAAAAATTCCAGTTTCCACAAACTTTTTGAAGCAGTACCCTCATAAATAATGGTAAATATGTCACCAAAAGTCTGATCCTGGTCAACAGTGCTAAATCAGAATAAGGAAGACAGGTTTGAGGATATAGGAGAGAAAAAGTCCAGTCTATTGATAGGATGAGGAGGTAGCAGACAGTCAAGAGCTACCATCTTCCAGAGTGAAGGCACTTCAGTGTTTTTAAGGAGTTCAGAAGAGGAAGCTGTATTTGGGAGGACATGACTAATAACAAGTCAGGAATTAGACACAGGGGCTCAGGAGTAAACAGCCAAACACTGAAACTAGTTGTGGATCCAATCATAGGACTTTTCATTTTTTAATCTGAAATATGGTTTCTTGAGAAACATGCTGAAGGAGGACTGATGGCTTCATCTCAACACCGGTGAAACATAACAGCACATTCTGTGTGGGGGAGTGCTGCTGAACATTATTTGGCTGAGGCCTGAAAGAGGCAAAGCATTGTGTTAAGAGATTCTAGTGTTTCATTAACCCTAATGAGGCTCACTTCCCTTAAAGTCTAACATGAACAAGATTTATTGTGTCTTTAGTTACCTGCACCCCATTCAACCTGTTACATTTGTGTCACTTCTTTTGTTAAATTAAACCTTGCACTTAAATTTTCTCATCTAATATTCATAAAATCCCCAAGAGGCCAAAAATATCCATGTCCTAGAGATGGGGACACCAAAGGACAGAGCAATGCAAATGAACCCTTAAGTCTAATTGTGCTGTAGAGGCTGCTCCAGAAGGAGGCTGAATGCCCACTAGAGGTTATATGAAGTCTACCCAGCTACTTTTCATGATAGATGTAGTAGAGATCCCAACTGATATGCAGTAAATATTTATCAATCTCTTACCAGAAACTGTAAAGATCCAGGAATATTGTATAAATAAACAGCCGAGAGAAAGAGAGAAAAAACTTATGTCTGGAAATATACAAATGTAGAAAGTTTGTTTATAATATAAAATTTCCTGTAAAATAGAAAAACTACATATGAAAATATACAGACTGATTTTCAATTTTTTCACAGGCCATTGATCTGAGTACCCATTAACTCCCATCGTCCTTTTCTGTCCTCCCTCAAAATTTAAACTGTCACGAACTAGAAAAATTTTTTTCAATTTGGATGCCACCACCACCACCATCACCACCCCTCACTTCCCCCCCAAAAAAGGTAAGACTTCTTCCAAGCTCGAAATCCATAAAAGTGGGCAAGACCTCAGAAGTTTCTCTAGGTGGAAAGAAAGACTCCGGAACTAGTGTTCCAGTAGTCGTGTTTCTCGGTAGGAAGTCATTTCAGGGGACCGGTAGTGGAAATTTCTTGAGCTGTTTCCGGCCACCTCAGCGGGAAGCGGAGACGCAAGCAGCTGGGTTTTAGGCTACTGAGGAGGAGGTGTAACTGTTGAGGCGGCAGAGGCAGGGAAGACGACGCTTACGGCTGCCCGGGCCAATTTTGGGTCCCAGTAGCCTGTGAAGATGGTGTTGCTAACGATGATCGCCCGAGTGGCGGACGGGCTCCCGCTGGCTGCCTCCATGCAGGAGGACGAACAGGTGAGCTGCTGCTATTAGACCCCAGGACCCCAAGCGAGCGCGCTTTGCCCTGAGCACCGAATCCTTCCTAGGACGCCGCAGAGCCTTGGGACCCCCCCACCCCAGGCACTCCCAACGCCTCCTGAGTGCTCCTTTATCTTTTGGTAGGGGGGAGACTGCCTGTGGGCGGAAGTCTTTTCTGAAGGCGATTTTTGTGTTACTTGTGTTTTCTTTAGAAGAACGCCTGGAGAAGGAATAGGTTTGGCTGGTTATCAATCACCCAGGGTTTTGACTCTTGGGACCTTGTTAAAATTTAGGGCTTACAGTTTCCTCCTAATAAGGCTGCTGACCAACAAATTCTGAGGAAAATCCCTTGCTGAATTCTTCAACTCCTTTTTTTCTGTAACACCTGATTCTTGACCTAACTTACTGACATCTTTTGAAAGAGGGTGCAGTAATGTTGCCACTTATAAGCACATGTTAAAGTTCAGTACAGTACGTTTTTTCCCCAAAGTTATGCCCAGTCCTCAATCAGCTGTACCAAATTCGTGTAATGCTTCTACCTTATTTTTTTCTTTGTCATTCGATAAAATGAGTGTCTTAGCAGGCAAACGACAGATCTTAATCATCTTTGTGTTCTCCAGAGCTTTTACAACTTTTACAGCCTTGTGCTACAAGTTGTTAAAAAATGTATTGAATTGATTAAAAAATAACAACCTCAGCCACCTTGAAAATCAAGGGGAGTTTCTGGAGAAAATTTGAGAGGTCCCTGAGCAAGGAAGGCTGAGAGTGGAATTTATGTAACTTTGTCAAAGTGATCAATTTTTGTGTTACTTTCTCAAACAGCCTATGTAGTTCTTTAAAACCTTGAGGCTTAAAAAAGATGAGTTCTACAAAAAAATTTTTTTTACATTCCTACTCTGGACTTTTCATTCATATGTTTATGCAAAACAAAACAAACTTACTGAGCACATTGGAAGTGCAGGGATGGTATTAATGTAGGGCAGTAGAGGGCACAGTCTCTGCTTTCATAGAACTTACATTCTAGTGGAAAAGTCAGATAAACAACAAAAACAATTGTAATATAATTGCTGTGGAAGAGAAAGAGGATTCTGTATTTGAGCATGGAAAGGTATCCAAGTTGGTTTTGGTAGACTTGCCAGAAAAAAGTGACATGTAAGCTAACTGACAGCAGGGTCAACTAGTAAGAAACTGGAACTCTTCTATTTGGTTATATTCCTTTTTAGGTTTGATTTTGAACTATGCTTAACTTTTAGGGCAGCAGTAATACAGAAGGTAAAGTTACAGGTTATGGTAAGTATAGTAAATTCTGTTCGTACAGAACACAAAGTCTGATCACTGAAAAACCTGAAAAATATACCCCAATGTTTGATTGTGAAATGTTTTTCTTTTTTCAAATTTGTTAAGAATTTTCTTAGGCCAGTCTGCCAAAGGAGTGTAACTGCTTTATTGAGCCTGGGAACATGATAACAAGGGAGATAGTGTGGGGAGATTTCCTTGAAGGATAGATATGTAGTTTGGCTGCAAAATAATTTTCCCACAAGGGATGACAGTGGGTTAAAGAGGGGCAGAATCTGCTAGTTTTCTGACTACTTTATTGAACTCCAAAGTGAGCAAAGAATATAAAGTGGATTTTAAAGTTTACTTGTTAGCGAGCCCATTCTGTGTTGGTGCTTTATTGAAAAATTAGTTGTTTTTGTTTTGCTTCATTCTGAGTTTGGTATTGGTTTGGAATCAGCCTACCAAAATGGGTTATTTGAATTGATAAGGGAAGCGATTTAACCAAAAATTTTCTGTGATTATAATTTCAAAGTGTTTTCCCTTAGTAATTTGGACTTCGAAAAATAAAATATTTTCTAACCTTTGAATATCTGCAAATATATGACTCCTAGATTTAATTGTACTGTTATAATAGTACACAAAACATTTATAGAATGCCTACCACATAGCAAGCACTGTGTTAAGTCTGTTAAGTGCAGTATCTCATTCGATCTTCAGGCCAGCCATATTAATATGGGTACCATTATTATTCCCTTTTATATTAAAGAAGCTCTGAGACTTAGGATAGGCTAGAAAAATATATAGCATAATAAATTTCTCATCATTGCTTTTAACACTCCAGCACTATTAACATTTAGGACTGATAATCCTTCGTTGTGAGGGGCCATATTGTGCATTGTAGGATGACTGCAGTATCCCTGGCTTCTACCTGCTGGATGCAGAAAGCACCACCACCTTCTCTGCCTCTGTTGTGTGACAGCCAAACATATTTTCCAAACGTTGCCAAACGTCTCCTGGGGGCAGAATCACTTACATGTTGAGAACCACTGCTTTTTTTTTTTAATGTTATTTAGTCTACTTGAAAGGCAGAATGACAGTAGGAGGGAGAGACAAAGTGCCTTAATTATTGAGTTATTTTCCTAATAACAGATACCATTTTTCAGCTATTTACTAGTCCCTGTACAGGGTGCCTTGGTACTGGAAATGAATAGTCAGATACTATCATAGTAAAATTCTTGAAATATAGTCTGAATATTGTGTACAGTGTTCGCTCTGTGCCACATTTATGCTGATTAGTCAATTTACTGTAATTGCTTTTAGAGGAAAATGGTTCTTGGTCTTATTGGCCTTCAACCAGCTGAGTTCCATAGAGATTTAAAAATGATAAGAGCTTAGCTAAACATTCTTACAAAGCTGAATGCTTTTCTCCTTTTCTCTTTTTTTTTTTTTTTTTTTTTTTGGTATCAAATGAAGACAATTTTTACTTAAGATTCCATGTGAGGGATAGGCATTTGGTGCAGCAGTTAACATGTAGCCAGGGACACCCACGTCCCGTACTGGAGCACCTGGCTTTTAGTCCTGGCTTTACTTTCGATTCTAGCTTCCTGCTAATGTACACTCTGGGAGGAAGCAAGGTGATGTCTCAAGTACTTTGGTCCCTGCCACTCATGTGGGAGACCCAGACTGAGTTCTGATCACCTGGCTTGGGTCTAAGCCAGAGATAGTTATTGGGGAGTAAACCAGTGGATGGAAGATCTTTCGCTCTCCCCCTCTCTCTGTTCCTTTCAAGTAAATAAAAGTTTAAAAAATTCCTATGTAAGAAATTGCTAAAATTTTGCCATCTTCTGAAGTAGATGTCAAATGAAACCAGCACATTTTCTGCTTTATAGAGGGATGTCACATCTATTGAAGGCTCCTGTAGACTGGCTGCCTCCGGTTTGTTATCACCACTGCCTCTTTCATTATCCATCATCATCATGGAGTTTACATAGCTGACTGCAGTGAATCTGAGGCGTACCACTGACTATTTGTCATTGCTATCAAGGTTCCAGTAAGGCTGGCAGATATTAGCTGAAAGCAAGGCCATTGGTTAATGTATGGGACTGAAGATATGTTAGCCTTTTTTCATGCATCTATTTCCAGCATCCTTTTCCAAGTATTGTTTTAGATAGAAATGTCGTAAGTAAAGTACAGAGAAGTCAATGAAAAGTATCTGTAGTGCTTTTTCAGTTGAGTGAAATAAGAGATTTTTTTCTTGCAGTTCTGTTGCCATATAAAACCAAAATGGTTGCTTATTTTAATAATCTGGAATAATGGGACATTTGAATGATCAATGAATACCTGCTGAACTGAGGGGAATAAAGACTTCCCTAATCTCAAAATAAGAACAACCTGAGGAATTTGGCTCAAAATGGATTAACTACTTTTTAATGATATATATATAGCTAGTAAGCAATTAGTATATAGCTAGTAAGCAATTAAATGTATTAAAATTGAGGCCAGCATCGTGGTGCAGCAGGTTAAGCTGCCAGAAGCTATACTGGCATCGTTTACCAGAGTACCAGTTCAAGTCCTGGCAGCTCTGCTTTTTTTTTCTTTAAATTAATAATTTTATTTTTTTAAGAAATACAGATTTTGTAAGTACAACTTTAGGAATATAGTTATTCTTCCCACCATACCTGCACTCCCACCCACACTTCCACTTCTCCTCTTCCCTCCCCCCCTCCCCTTCCCAGTCTCATTCTCCATTAAGATTCATTTTCAATTAACTTTCTACATAGAAGATCAACGCTATATCAACAGGTTGCACACATAAACACACACACCAAACAAACAAACAAAAAAAACTGGTTGAAAATTAGTTTTACAGTTAACTTTCAAAATGCAACTCATTGAGGACAGAGGTCCTGCATGGGGAATTAGTGCAGTGACTCCTGTTGTTAATTTAACAGTTAACACTCTTAAGTATGACGTCAGTGACCACCCGAGGTTCTTAACATGAGCTGCCTAGGCTATGGAAGCCTTTTGAATCCAAACTCTGTCAATATTTAAACAAGGCCATAAGCAAAATGGAAGTTCTCTCCTCCCTTCAGAGAAAAGTACATGAAAGATGCTTTTTGATACAACTAGTTGTTCAGCAGTCACAGGTGACAGCAATAAAAAATATCATGGTTGTATGGAAAATTACTACTTTGTTCCTTTTGTAATATATAGGGCCAAATCCTAAATATGGTATTGTATATCATCAAATCTGTTTCACAATTTGTCCATATATTCTCATCTACTTCACTATTGGATTACTAACAGATATATCTTACTATACTTATACAAAGTTCATTAGCATGCCCTAGATAGAACACTAAATCAGGACATTGAAATTTTTTTTGGTAGACTGGCTCACAATGGGTCCTTTGTGATTTTGCTTTTAAAAGGTCAGTGATTAGAGCAGTGACTACACTGTTTTATGAGGTTTAGATGAGAGCTACCTCATGGTTTTTTCACCTCTTCCTATGAATCAGATTTAATGTTAAATAGTAAGACATCAGCTGGAATGTGACTCTACTGTTGAAACCATTTTAATTATACAAGGTGCTTAAAAACTAAGTGGAAAAATGAAATTAAAAGATAAGCTTATTTTGGTACAAAAAATTTGAAATCCATGCATTAAGGGTTCTTCAAAAAGTTCTTGGAAACTGAATATTATGAAAACAAAATATGGATTTCAAAATTTTTGCACCAAAATAAGCTTATTTTTATTTATTTATTTATTTATTTATTGAGAGGTAGAGTTACAGACAGTGAGAGGGAGAGACAGAAAGAAAGGTCTTCCATCCACTGATTCATTCCCCAAATGGCCACAACGGCCAGAGCTGCACCAGTCCAAAGCCAGGAGCCTTTCCTGGTCTCCTACACGGGTGCAGGGGCCCAAGGGCCTGGGCCATCCTCTACTGCTTTCCCAGGCCATGCAGAGAACTGGACCGGAAGAGGAGCAGCCGGGACTCAAACTGGCGCCCATATGGGATGCCAGTGCCGCAGGCAAGGATTAACCTGCGCCATAGCGCTGGCCCCTAAGCTTATTTTTTAATTCAATTCTTCCATGAGCTTTTTGAGATACCCTTGTAGAAGTGGTAGGAATGGGCTCCAGAACCAGACAGCCTAGGTTCAAATCCTGGCCTCTCTCTTTATGAGTCTGGGGTCCTTGGACAAGTTTGGCAACTCAAATATAAAATTGGTATAATGATTCTAATCACTCGACAGGATAATTGTGAAGATTAAACAAGTTAAATTACATGAAATGTTTAGAATGTTACCTGGTAGAAAGTGACTACTTAGTAATTTAATTTGCCCATTTCTGAAGAACTTTTTCTCGTTTTATCTTGATTTTCTTAAAGTTCACAGAAATTTTTTTTTTTTTTTGACAGGCAGAGTGGACAGTGAGAGAGACAGAGAGAAAGGTCTTCCTTTACCATTGGTTCACCCTCCATTGGCCGCCGCAACTGGTGCGCTGCGGCCGGTGCACCGCGCTGATCCGAAGGCAGGAGCCAGGTGCTTCTCCTGGTCTCCCATGGGGTGCAGGGCCCAAGGACTTGGGCCATCCTCCACTGCACTCCCTGGCCATAGCAGAGAGCTGGCCTGGAAGAGGGGCAGCCGAGACAGAATCTAGCGCCCCAACTGGGACTAGAACCCGGTGTGCCGGCGCCGCAGGCAGAGGATTAGCCTATTGAGCCATGGTGCTGGCCCACAGAAATTTTCTTAAAGTTCACCAAAATGGCACATAATACTCAGGGTACAAATATGCAAAAAAAGGAATGAATGAATGAATAATGTTTACTGTTACAAAGGTAATCCAGGCTTATCATAGAAAGTTCAGTAAATACAAGCAAATGGATGAAAATGTTAGTGGTAACCATTATCTGTAATCTCTACTCAAAAACTTAGTGTTTATGCTTATATAAAATTAAATAAAAATATTGTAAGACTATACACCTAATTTTTCACTTAGTATATAATGAATATTTTTTCATATCATTAAATATTATACATGAAAAAATTTGAGAGCGAATAGAGCTGCTGATTCATTCCTGAACTTTCCACAACACCTGGGGTGAGTCCATGGCCAAAACTTTAAAATGGGAAGCTCAATCCGGGTCTCCCACATGAGTAGCAGGGAACCAACTATTTAAACCATAACCTTCCCATATTGCTTCCCATGGTACTCATTAGCAGGAAATTGAAATTGAGAGTAGAGCCAGGACTCTATCCAGGCACTGTGATATGGGATGCAAGTGCCTTAACCAACAGGCCAAACCCCTACACATTTTTAATTGTTTCATAATATTCCATTATATGAATATATGCAAATTATTATTTAACCAAAGATTGTGTCAGTGTATGTTCTCAGTAATAATAATGCTACCTGAACCAGCAGGCTTCGGCCTGGGAAAGCAGTAGAAGATGGCCCAAGTCCTTTAGCCCCTGCACCTACATGGGAGACCCGGAAGAAGTTCTGGCTTCAGATCAGTGCAGTTATGGCCATTGCGACCATCTAGGGAGTGAACCAGTGGATTGAAGACCTCTCTCTCTGCCTCTCTGTAGTTCTGCCTTTCAAATAAGTAAATAAATCTTAAAAAATAAAAATACAAAAGATGCTGTTGGATGGAAGAAATAGCTTCTAATATGTTCTGCAGCAGAGTAGAATATCTCTGGTTGACAGCTCTTGATTGAATATTTCAGAATAGCTCATAGAGAGGATTTTGAATATTTCTGACACAAATAAATGATAAATGTCTGAGCTGGTAGGCTAGTTGCTTTGGTCTGATCATTAAACATTGTATACCTGTATTGAAGTGTCACACTATACTCCATAAATACTCATTTGTAAGCTTACTATGAAATTAGAAAAGTAAGAATGATGTTCAAAACCTGGAGAACACTTTGATTACAGTAATAAAGACAATGTATAGTGACTGTAAAAGATTTCAGTATGGGAATGGGGGAGTGGGACAGAAGCATTCAGAGTACAGCTGGCAGAAGGTCTCTCCTTCCCAGTAAGTGGGTGAATAAGCAGTGGATGTAAGTGTTTCCTTCCCATCTTTATGCACCTCTTTTCTTCTTTGTATCTGGTCAGCTAGTGAGATACCACTGTTTCTTCCAGAGACTTTTTTTCCTTTTCTGTATTTTTTAATTGTTAAAGGTATTTAGAAATTATCCAGGAAAATATCTATAATGTTATTATTTCACTTTTGTTTGTACATATCCTTCAGTAGTCATAATTTTGCTGTCCAAACTTGGGAACCAAATAAATTTATACAGAAAAGGATATTTGCCTTTTCCCATCTTTGTTCTTACTCCTTTTTACCTGGTTGCAGTCATAGTGTTCATGTAACTTGCAATCATGGGTATACACATTTAGTTTTGCCTAAATGTTCAGTAATGTGATACTTTGTGGAATATTCTGCTTGATATCCCAGTCTAAAAATGAGATTCATCACTTTATTATTGACAGGGTTTTTTTCCTGAGTACAGCACATACTGTGCAAATCTTTGCTAACAATTGTGCAAGTGAAGTGGGTTAGGAGGAGGATACTGACCTAATAACGCACAGAACACTGGATTGAAAGAGAGTTCCTTAAATGTAGCTAAGTATACACTTTTGCTTCCTAGTTAGTAAGTAATGTCATCTTTAAGAACTAGGAGTTAGGGGGCTAGTGCCTGTAGTGCCAGCATCCCATATGGGCGCCGGTTCTAGTCCCAGCTGTTCTACTTCCAGTCCGGCTCTCTGCTGTGGCCTAGGAAAGCAGTGGAGGATGGCCCAAGTCCTTGGACCCCTGCACCTGCGTGGGAGACCCAGAGAAGGCTCCTGGTTCCTTGCTTTGGATCAGCGTAGCTCCTGCCATTGCAGCCAACTGGAGAGTGAACCAGCAGATGGAAGACCTCTCTCTCTCTCTCTCCCTCCCTCTCTCTCTCTCTGCTTCTCCTTCTCTCTCTGTGTAACTGTGACTTTCAAGTAAATGAATAAATCTTAAAAAAAAAAAAAAAAAAGAACTAGGAGTTAGGACTTCCTTGACTTCCTTCTTTTTTCTTTTTAAAGATTTATTTATTTATTTGAAAGAGTTACACAGAGAGAGGAGAGGCAGACAGAGAGAGAGAGGTCTTCCATCCAATGGTTCACTCCCCAGATGGCCGTAACGGCTGGAACTGCACCGATCCGGAGCCAGGAACCAGGAGCTTCCTCCGGGTCTCCCACACGGGTGCAGGGGCCCAAGGACTTGGGCCATCTTCCACTGATTTCCCAGGCCATAGCAGAGAGCTGGATCAGAAGAGGAGCAGCCAGGACTCAAACTGGCGCCCATATGGGATGCTGGCGCTTCAGGCCAGGGCCTTAACCTGCTGCACCACAGCACCAGCCCCAGGACTTCCTTCTAAAAATATGCCTTTTTTTTTTTTCATTAAAACAAAGGACCTGATTTACAAAGTGTCTCATAATGTCATGATGCTCCTTATTAACACACATTTTTGTGTGTGCAAAATGTTTAAATGGAGGTGTCATCTTCTTTCAGTCTGGCCGGGACCTTCAACAGTACCAGAGTCAGGCTAAGCAGCTCTTCAGAAAGCTGAATGAACAGTCCCCTACGAGGTGTACTTTGGAAGCAGGAGCCATGACTTTTCAGTGAGTATATTCCTGATTTCTTTTTGGTCACGTAAGTATGTAGGGTAACACCTGATGAGAATGGTAACAATTGTTTAAAAAGTTTTAAAAATACAGTCTCTTCATGGAAGCAACTTTTCTGGCTTTAATTCTGTAAAATGAAATCTCAGCTTGTTTATTCAGAAGGCTGATCATAAGTTATGAGTGTTGTTCCTCTCATGTAATAATAACTTCTTGCTTTATGACTACCTTAGAATCAGAAACATGTAGGTTAGTATTCCTGCTCTAATGTTTACTAACAGGGGCTGGAGCTGTGGCGTAGCAGGTAAAGCTGCCACCTGCAGTGCTGGCATCTTCGGGTGCTGGTCAAGTCCCGGCTGCTCTGTTTCCAATCCTCTCTCTGCTATGGCCTGGGAAAGCAGTAGAAGATGGCCCAAATCCTTGGGCCCCTGCCACCACATGGGAGACCAGGAAGAAGCTCCTGGCTCCTGGCTTCAGATCTGCGCAGCTCTGGCGTTGCAGCCATTTGGCGAGTAAACCAGCGGATGGAAGGCCTCTCTGTCTATCTGTCTGTCTGTCTCTCTCTCTCTCTGCCTCTCCTTCTCTCTCTGTATAACTCTGACTTTCAAGTAAATAAATAAATCTTTAAAAAAAAAAATGCTGGCCGGCGCCACAGCTCAATAGGCTAATCCTCTGCCTGCGGCGCCGGCACCCCAGGTTCTAGTCCAGGTTGGGGTGCCAGGTTCTAGTCCTGGTTGCTCCTCTTCCAGTCCAGCTCTCTGCTGTGGCCTGGGAAGGCAGTGGAAGATGGCCCAAGTGCTTGGGCCCTGCACACGCATGGGAGACCAGGAGGAAGAACCTGGCTCCTGGCTTCATATCGGTTCAGTGCACCGGCCGTGCA